TAGCCTGGTGATGGGTATTAAAGAGGGCACATACTGTATGGAGCACTGGGTGGTATACGCAAACAATGAATCATGGAACACTCCATCAAAAACTAACGATGTAATGTATGGTGATTAATATAACATAATAATAATAATAAAAAAGACTGACCATAAAAGCTGTCAGTGGCAACCCATTCGGGACCCCTTTCTCTCTAGAGAGCTTTCCTTTCTGTTCTCACCTTCCCTTAATAAACTTTCACTTCACTTCACCCTTTTGTCTGCGAGATTCATTCTTTGACTCTGTGAGACAAGAGCCCTGCAACACTATCATCCTAGAAAGTTCCCCCACACCTGTTAACGGTTAATCCCTGCTTCTACGCCCAGTTCCAGACAGCCATTGCTTTGCTTTCTGTTCCTATAAATTTGCCTTTCTAGACATCTCATATACATGAAACCATACAAGATGTTGTGTTTTGCATCTGGCTTCTTTCACTTACATTATGTTTTTGGGGTTATCCATTAGCATGGATTACTAGTTTGACCCTGTACTTTTTTTCTTTTCATGTTTATTTGCAGTTTTTCCTCTCAGAACTGTCTGCTACAAAGGTCCTTGACCTTCTTCTATTGGGGCAATGAATGATTTTGCAGATGAAGAACATAATTAGTGTCATATTAAATATGGGATTCTGGCAGCACTGGGAAGAATGACTCTATGTGCCTTTCCAAATCTAGGACAATCAGTAAAAGTTTACTGCACTGAATTAGGTTTTATCTACATACAATAAAGGACTATGATATGGCACTAAGGAGTAATTTATTTGAATCATTTTAGTTTCCTCTACTTAAGGAGTGTCATAAATTTCTCATTTATTTTCTAGAAAATGTTCAAGTTAATCCTTAAAATCTGATTTTATTTTAGTATAGTAGAAATAGATCCTTTTTGGGACAAAGTAGAGTAAATAAATAAATGTTGTTCTTGGTAGTATGTTTTTTTACATCAAGAGCCCTTAAAATGTTCCTCAGCTATCCTCAGATTCATTAAATAGCTATTGGACAATGAAACAGTATTCTTTGTACTCTTTATCTCTGTAAAAATTGAAAGAAACCATAACAACAACAACAACAAAACCCGCTGCAAGACCCACCCTCAAGTAAAAACTCTAATCTAAAAAAAAAAAAGTCCGATTTTGATCCCAAGTTAACCATTAATGAATTTGTACCCCGTGCTACTTTGCTAAATCTTGTTTGACTTCCAGAAATAGAAGCTCAGATTTGGTAAAAGTTAGAGTTCTTAAAGGTAGCAGAGAAACTCATTTTGACATATGGGAGGGCACAAAACTTTTCTTCATTACACCTCCTTCAGCCTCCTAAATGCCCCACCCTTCGAGCAGTTTGTGGACTGTTCAAAGCTAGAGAGAAGCTTAAGTCATGGCTCCTCATCTGCATGGCTGCTTTCCTAATTTTGCATGTTTTCCTTAAGAGGGAACTCCAAATTATATAAGCGTCCAGCCCCACAAAACCTGGGTCTGCCCCTATAATAAAAGATCTCTCTCACCTGTTCCGAATGTTGTTTGTAGGTTGCTCTTTACTTCATGGGTTGAATGTAGATTCATTTCTGCAAGCCTTCTTTCCATGATTTTCCCTAGACATCCTTTTAGGAAATATGTTATGCAAATAACAAAGTGACAATAGAAATGATATACCTAGAATCCCATCACCTCAGCAGGTCACCCATGTTTATTCTCCTGTGGCCCCTTCCAGGTTTTGTCCACATGTCTACATCATTTTATGTGATTACCCTAGGATTTTTAAAAGTTTTATCTTAAAAGAAAGTTTGATCTTGATAAATGTGCAACACAAAGTTGCATTTATTGCACCTATCCTATACTTACCTCTTCAAAACCTGTATGACATGGCTACATCCCAGCGTTCAGAGGAGACAGAGCAGCAGGAAAAGGCCAATGCCTGGCATTTCAGTGTCACCTAGGGAAAATGACCAGCTGCTGGTACACAGGAGGGTGGGAAAAGGATGCTAAACTGGGGCGCCTGAGTGGCTCAGTCTGTTAAGTATCTGCCTTCACCTCAGGTCATGAGCCCAGGGTCCTGGGATTGAGCCCCACATTGGGATCCCTGCTCAGCGGGGACTCTGCTTCTCCCTCTCCCTCACTCCCTCCCCCTGCTTATGCTCTCTCAAATAAATAAATAAAATCTTAAAAAAAAAAAGGATCCTAAACTGTCAGGGCTATATCGTTTGTTCACTACCGTATACTCTGTGCTTAGCACAGGGTCTGGCATTCAGTAAGAACTTAAACATTGATTTGAGGACTAATTCTGAATCTGACTGAACCAGTTCTATTTTTTTGGCGGGGGGGAGGGTTGATAGAACAAAATTTTAGAAAATAGCAATTAATTTATTGCTTTCCATTAAAGTTGAATCTGTCTCATTAATTTGTGTATTAAGTGTCTGCTATGACCAAACAAAACTACATCACTTGGGATCATGTGAGGGCGAAAGGAGGAACAATCTGGAGAGTATGCTCTTTCTAGTCCCAATCCCAATCCTAATCCTTACTTTATGGCCCATGATGAATAAAGAGAATGGAGAAGTTTTTAATCTTTTAAAAAGACAGCCTTATTTTCTCTTTGCAGAGAGTAAGGAAATATACAAAAATGACATTGGGGGAAAAAAAAGAAATTTTACTTAGGGAAGGAAGAAAAGTAGAGCTCTTTATTGCCCTTAAATAGCTCTGGAAGATTATGACACCTAGCTCTTTGCCAGAAACTGGGGTACACTTACCTGAAATACCACATTCATTTTGCAATTTCTTGCAGGGCAAGATCACACCAGTTTATTGTCCAAAAGGGGTGATCATTTTAGATTTTGGTGAATATAACCCAGCACATACCTTTCTTCAGGATACACTAAAGGAGGGCTCCTTGTGGCCTAGGGTGACAGATGCCCCAATCACTTGAGTGACTTGATGTGACACACACAAAGTCACTAGAGAAGTCTGACCCTGCAAAATACGCAACTTCAGCTTCTCTCTGCCCTGAGGTCAGTGCTACTAGGCAATAGCATTTCCTGGTAAAATTCAATTAAACAAAATCCCGGAGTTGTTTTTCTTCAAAATAATTTTGACTTAATTTCTCCTTTTATATAAAAAGACAACAAATTACATTTCAGAGAATGCTGTTTAGGTTACGAGGTTCCCGTCAGAGCTGTTTTGCAATACGTGTTTACATAATCTGAAGTGAGGTCGGCAGTCAACTGTGAAACTGGGGCCAGCCAGGCCGCCTTGTGCACATTTTACTTTGGATCACAAACTAATGTAATGTTCTATTGTTTAAGTGTCAAGTAGGTTTGGGTTTTGTTTTGGACATTCAAATTGGGATAAGAGGGGCGCCTGGGTGGCTCTCGTTGAGCGTCTGCCTTCGGTTCAGGTCATGATCCCGGGGTCCTGGGATCGGGCCCCGCATCGGGCTCCCTGCTCAGCGGGAAGCCTTCTTCTCCCTCTCCTGCTCCCCCTGCTTGTGTTCCCTCTCTCGCTGTGTCTCTCTCTGTCAAATAAATAAATAAATAAAAATCTTAAAAAAAAAAAAAACAAAAAAACCAAATTGGGATAAGAAAACAAACTGCCACCACCAGATTTTAAAAAGCAGTGAGGTCTGTGCTTTGTAAAGAGAACATGCAGCATCAGTATTTTCTGCTTTTATCAATGAGCTCAAACATTTGAAATTTTGTATCATGACATGGACAAAAATATACCAAGATATTTAAGCAAGTCATGTCTTTGGAGAGAAAATTTTATGCAATCTATTTGCACGGCCCAATGTGTTACTACTTATTTCCCGTATTAAGCAATTGTGCTTTGCTGTCCAAGATTCACAGAAGTGAATAATGTAGTGTTACAAATGCAAAGAGAATGATAAATAATAACCAGAAGCAGTTAAATACTTCCCATAAAGTATCTTAGAAAAATGTATTTATTTATATTATTTATTATAATATAATATTTATGATAATATATAATTGCCAAAATAAAAGCAATTATACTTTACATGATCCCATATGACAGTGAAACTATCAAATATCTAAAATTTTGGACAATTCTTAGGAGGAGGCTGAAAAATGGGTCCTTGCTGCTTTACCCCACATTTCCTTTACCAGCCCTCTCTGAGGATCCCAATTGGAAGGGGTTTCGTTTTCTCTAATGGTCCCTTGCATTATAGTTAACTACATCCATAGTTCTTTACTAGATTAAAGTTCTTTTAGAATATGAATGAAATCTTACACAGCTTTGACTCCTCCAAAGCACTGAACGTGGCGGTTTACTCAATTACTTATGGAAACAAATGTCAAAATAGAGATTGCAAACCATAAGTGAGTATTTACCTTTAATACAGTCCCTTTTTGTGGGTAAATTTATTCTTTACTGTAATACATTTTTTGGATGTGATGACAAACTGATTCTGGACGATTATCCACAGGTATCAAATGTCAGAGGACATTTCTTTGTTCTTTTTGGCCTAGTATGAGCATACCATATTTTCATCCAGAACCTTTCTAGGGAATGCTTCTCTAAACAAGCCATTTAAAATTTTATAATGTCCTCAGTTGTATGTTAAATAAGCTAAATTCAAAGAAACTGAGGTTAACCACATCAGAGCAAAAAGTAAAATAAATTTAATTAGAAAATTTAAAAAAGAGAGTAGAGAAAGTCTACAATTAATTATAATGTAATCCAAATGAATTCATATCTCATCATTCCAATGTGTGAGCCAGGACATACATACTCAAATGAAGAGCATCTGGCCAAGCTAAATAACAAGCCAAAGGTATCAGTTTCATGAGTAGAAACTTAAGAAGGCAAAATTATTCAGCATAAGCCTAATGTAGGATTTTGGAAGTTCTAAATTATCAAGTCTTTTAAAGAAAACGAAAACCAAATATCCACATTGCTTTTTAATTTAGTAAGTAATGCATTGTCATATTCACTTTGATCATTACATGGACAAAAATATACCAAGTCATTTTTCCATGTGTTAAAACATTCAAGTACATTACTGAAAAGAGGCAATGAAAATTGTCTCTGAAGTTTTCAAAGATAAGGGAGGTGACTAGGGATAAACAGGGATTAAACGTGGGTCTCAAGGAGCTATGTAGCTTTTGATTCCTATGTCTCTAACTGAACGAGACTGAGGTCACAAAGATGCAGGAGATCCCAAGCACAGAGACATTTCCTCCATACGTATACTCTATTCTAAGAGGTTAACATTGGGATACAGATACTTAATGTAGAATCTTCTAATCAACCTGACTTCTACCAGCAGTTTCTGCTAACAAAAACTTTTGAGAATGGCTCCAATTACCGTGAAGATGAAGTAACATAATGTCTGAGATTGGCTTCAAAATATTACAGTGGAAAAGGAAAAAAAGATAGATGAAGCAAATACAGCATAAGTTTTATAATTACTAAGTATAGGGGATGGGGATGTGAGAGGGTTATCCTATTATTTTCTCTACTTTTGTGTATGCCTTCAAATTTTCATGAGACTTTTACAAAGAGAACTTTTTAAAAAATACCTATTTTAAGAAATACCACAATTTTTCCATATACCTATCTATGGAATGGACAGAAAGCTTTCCTGAAAGAAATTATGGCTGGTCTCAAATCTTGGGTTCTTTACTAGGCTTAAAAAAGACCATTTCACCTGTCTTTCAAAAACCATTTTGTCTGTCTTTCTCAAAAGAAGTAAGTAACATAAATCTACACATTATCCTGTGATGTGGGATGTGTACTAACAAAATACACTTTTTAACGTTAGCCTAAAGTCAGAGAAATCTAACTTTTCAAGCTGAACATGAAGGCTGTATTACATGGAAGATATGGATTTGAATTCTGGTTTAGACTTTAGTTTCAGTGAAAAAGAAGAGAGAGTTAATTTCAAGAATTCAGATTCCCTAATCCTTTTCTCAGATCCAAGGAGATTTTCTTATGGGGATTTAACCTCTAACCATGCCAGTTAAGAAGTAAGGCAATGGGGGGGTGGTCCCCTTCTTGGAAGTCTTACCTCAATTAGTCCCTTCCTGTGGTAAAGAGACACTTCCAACACCTCACAATATGCTACGAAGGAGGCCTCACTCTTCTGGCCCCTTCTCCATTTCCTTTCTTCCCTATAGGGACTCACGTACCCAACATTCTCTGCCATGATTCCTACATGCTTCCCCATTGGTCCTGTCATGATATCCTATGCAATGCTCAGGGATTCAAAAAGCAAAAGAGCCCTCTTGGGTCTATGGGGATAATCATACTGGTTCCTATGCAAAATCTGGCTGGGGGAGCTAGAATTTTGACCTAAGTTACTAATACTAGATGAGAAAAAAGAAGTCAGACTCAAAAAGCTCTCCCAGTTCATTAATATTTTGTGTAAGGTTCATGACCAAAGAGCCTGTACTGACATTCTTTCTTTCTCTCTTTTAAATAGAGATTAAGGATGCAGTTAAGAGTTCACTCATTTAACACTGATGCCATGGAGATTTCTTTTTACAAATGAGGTATTTGGTTTACTGTCCCAAACAGTACATGTTTGGGTAAACTGCAGAAATGGCCTAGCAAGTAATAAAATGAAAGTGAATACACTGAAACATAAAACAGAAATAGCATCTGGCAATAGTTGCTGTGATACCCTGAGAATCTTCACTGTAGTCAAAATAAACCCACCCACCTTATATCTGTAAAAATAAAAAACCAACATGATTTTTCCTAAGGGCATATACTTCTACTCAGAAAAGACAATGAGAATGAAGGGGTGGTGCATATGAAGTGAGACAAAGATCATTCTTCTTGCCCCTTTCTCCACTCTAATCAAAATTACTTATTCATGGACCACTATTCCCCCCACCCCTTTTTTTCAAATTATCTTAGGAAAACATTTAGAATTATAGCAACAACAGCATTTATAAGTCAATTTATGTGGAACTGTTGTCAAAGTTCAAAATGCCATGAAAGATTCTGAGAAGACATTGAGTATTTCACATAAAAAATTGAACAATCAGGTTAGCCAAGCCCAAAATGATGATAAAAATGTGAAAGATTAACTTTGGCCATGTCAGACGGTCTTCTTGGCGGAGGGAAATTATATAGATAAGAGATGGATATATGAATACAAAGGCCAGGCCGCATGCTGCTCCTGAATACCTGCAAAATAAAAACTTTTTGGGTTAATTATTCCTTGCAACTATACTCCCATTTAAACCCTCTTCAGTCTGATATTGCAATGAAGTTATTTTTGATTCAACTGTTGTTGACATAAAGCATTTGAGTTGAAAACATTTTACTTCCTAAGTTAATATAAAATATTATTTCCTGTTCATCTTTATAGCATCTGCTTGACAGAGTTTTTTATTCATCTCTCCAATCTCCATAGTTCTTCTGTGTCTCCATGTTTGTGGCTGCTTCCTCAGAAACATCTGGAGATAGGCTTCCTATCTTTGATCTTTTATAAACTAATTATGCATTCTGAGTTTCTGAAGGACTGCTAGCATCTGCTTAAGAATGAGAACAGATTGAGTACCTCTGTGGTGTTCAGCATAATTATCAAAGATAATAACAAAAATACCTCAACACAAGACTGACAGAGGAACCCAAACTTTCTTCTCCCTTACCCTATCCTCAGCTTAATAGAAACTTTAGGTCCATTATATTCAATAAGCATCAGGCTAATACTCTCTACTTTTATTTCTTGCTACTTTTTTTAGGTAAGGGTCTTCAAAAAAGTGACTCAAGCCCTGCTTTCTAGAGGTTGAGGAAGAGAAATCAGATCACTGTAAACCCGTCTTCCATGAGAATCTGAGTTCACAATTTTATTCCCCATCTACTCAACCTACCACAATATTTTTAGAGAAAGTATATTAAGTAAAGACCCATCTGGAACCTAAACTCCTATCTAAACTCTTACTTTCCGACTGCAACTCAGAGCAAAATTATGTTCTTGAGTAGAAATGGGTTAAAAAAGTTAAGAGTACAGCCACATTGAGATGATCCTTACTGAAAAAGAGCAGATTGTTCCTAAACCAGAAGAAAAAGATATCCCAGAAGAAACTGAAGAAACAAAAACTTATGGCCCAGGAGTAAATTCTGCATAAAATAAATGCAAATAAAAGTAAAAACAGCATAGTGGTTGTCTTTATTATAAGACATATTTCAAGTATCCTCAAAAAAAAAAAAAAAAGTTACAACACAGCCTTAACAAATGACAGACCTCCAGGTACTCAAGAAGTTATACACTATATATTAAATTTTTTTTAATTTGGGTAAAGAGAAGAAGGTACAAAGGAAAACGATGAGAAAAAGAAAAAGAGAAAGGGAAAAAGGGAAAGATGTTTAAGGGATAATGGGGCTTCTAGAATCAGGAAGAAGCAGTGTGATGGAAGAAAACGAGCACCTTAACTGACACCAGGGAACTATATTTGAATGTTACCAGTTTTAAATACTCACAAGAATTTCGTACAATTAAATTAACAACGGCAATATCAACAGGAAAAGCATAAAAATAAAGAACAATACATGAAGGGGCACAGTTCCCTTACAGGCTGTACCTTATGATTCCTCCTATGTTTGGGTAGAAACAGGCCATGATCACTCCAGCTCCCACAATAATTAGATTAAGAATCAGCACGTGGAAAATGCTAGAAGTTGAGGAGAGAATTTGGAGGAAAAAGTAAAAACAGGCAAATTATAACCATTAATATGAGAATAAAATTCATTATTAACATCTTTAAAATGAGAATGTCTTAAACTTGACAATAAAATCACAGCGGAAATAGAAGGCAGCAATAGTATTCAATGCTGGTGATGGCACAGTGACCCCGGACCTTTTGTGCAAATATATGAGTAGGTTAAAGATTTGTAGAACAAACTGGTGGTATGTATCAGAATTCACGCTTTTTATTTTATAATTCCATTTGGACTATCTTAAGACAATAAACAAAAATAAGAAAAAAGCTATTAACATAAAGATATTTGTGGCAAAAACAAGTATCCTACATATACAGCAAGGTAACAACTTCCTTGATGGAATATATTAAAAATTATTCAAAATAACTTATCATTGCTACCTAGATGGTAAATTCATCTAGGCAACTTGGAAGAAAGCTAGATAGATTTTTTTACTACACAAGAAAATCTGAAAACATTGGAAAAAATATCAGAAGGAACACCGAAAAGGTAGTAGTGATTGTGATATGATTTGGAATTTGGAGTAATTTTTCCACTTCTCTGTATTTAACAAACTTTTTATATCTTACAATATTTTTTTGTATTTATTTTATTTTTATAATTAGGAAAATATATTAAGGGAAAGACAAAATGGGCAGGTTTTCATTTTTCAGATTCAGCCACTTAAAGATATTCATTCCGTGTTCATCATGAATAGGAAAATAATGTAGATAAAATGTGATGCTCAAGAAATAACTCCATTTCCCAGAAAGATGATTCTTAAAAGAAATTTACACATCAAAGCAACCTTGTGAGCCTAAGTTATTAGGGGGTAATTAATCCCAGATAAAGATTACAGAGAGAATAAAAACGAGGAGAATTATTTACACAAATAAGTAGTTAGTCATACATCCTGATGAATTACAAAGATATTCAGGCTTCCAGATCTTACTACTTATCCAGAAACTCCAACTTTAAAATTGCTCCAGAGCTTTGAGACAATGACTGGGCCTCTGTTATTTCTGTATTGTAAAAGGAAACAACTTTGTGTATTTTCCAAAGAAGTGGTTCTCATAGTGTATTTTGTACTCATTGTATTATTTTATTTTGGGACTGTAAATACAACACAGGGAAGTTCCCAATACCCTTTCAGGAAGTCACTGAGATAAATATTAATTTCACATTAAAATCATAAGAGACATATTAAAACATATTTCATATTAAAATCATAAGAGACATTACTTGCTTTGCAAAAGCAACTGTGGGTAAAACTGCTGGCCCCTTAGCATGGGAAGAGGCAGCTGCACCTACGTGTATTTTATACTGTGTGCCTTACCGCCAAACACTGCCAAAAAAGAGACCTTCATAAAAAAGTAAAAATTATTAGTTTTATTAAATCTCATGCTTTGAACACACATCTGTTTTACTATTCTGTGTGATCAATTAGAAAGTACATAATACAGCGTATCTGCTACACAGTGAAGTAAAATTGTTGTCTTGAAGAAAAGTACTTGTGCAACTGAGCTGGAGAGCAATCTAGCCCTTTTTTCCAAGGAATGCTATTTTTACTTGAAAGGCAGACAAACTGTGGTTCTTCAGACTTGGGTATTTGACAGACATTTTTTTTTAAAATGAATGATTATGAGCTTGTCATTTCAAGGAAAACAACTAGTGGTATGTGATAAAATTTCAGTTTTCAAGGAAAAATCAGAATTTTGGACAGCTTGTATTTGCCACCCCGAGCTTGACAGTTTTCCAGTATTTAAGGACTTTTATGATGAAACTGGTGGCAGTGTTACGAATGTAGGTTTTGATATTATATAATGAAGTGTGGAAGATCTGCAGAACTCAGTGAAATGATATTTTCCAAATGATTAAACATGGTACAAATACATGCATAGGTTAAAGGATCCAAAGTGTACTATAGACCAATGGGTTTTAATATCAGTGAGTTTCTGATTCAATTAACTTATAAAATACTACTTGTTAAGATCTGGCATAGTATCAAAGAAGAATATCCACAATAATCTGAAAATGCTATTAAAAGTACTCCTTTTTCCAACGTGTCTATGTGAGAGTAGATTTTCTTCATATATTTAAATGAAAACAACATATTGCAACAGACTGAATGCAGAAGATAAGGGAATCCAATTATCTCCTAGCAAAGCAGGTATTAAAGAGTTTTGAAAATGTGGGGCGCTTGGCTGGCTTAGTTGGAAGAGCACACAACTCTTGATCTCAGGGACGTGAGTTCGAGCCCCACACGGGGTACAGGAATTACTTAAATAAATACAACTTAAAAAAAAAAGTTTTGAGGGGCGCCTGGGTGGCTCAGTTGGTTAAGCGACTGCCTTCGGCTCAGGTCATGATCC